CAAGTGTGCATTCCTAGATAAATGGGTAAACAATTGTGGTATATCCATAGAATACTACTGAGCAATATATAGCAACAACTTTAATACATGCAACATCAATGAATCTGCAAATAATTTTCAGAGTGAAAAAGGACAAAAAAGAACATATTATGTGATTGTATTTAGATAAAATTCTAGGTGATGCAAACTAATCTATGATGACAGAGAGCAGATTGGTGGTTACCTGATGAGGGAGGGAAGAAGGAGGAGGGAAAAAGGGGCGAATTACAGAGGTACACAGAGAAACTTCACAAATTCCTTCCTTTTTTGACTGTGGTGATAGTTTCCCAAATATATACACATATCAAAATTATCAAACTGTATACTTTAAGTACATACAATTTATCATGTATTAATTGTATCTCTATACAGCTGTAAAAATACACACAAACAAAAAGGCATAACATATACCATATTCACCACTCTCAGAATAACGCTAGAATTCCTTTTGGCAAAAAGAAGGAAAGAAAATAAACAAACAAATCATTACCACTAGTAGCAGCACAACAAGCAAAATGTGATTTGAGTCAGTTATTCTGCAAGAGTGCTGGGTTTCTGCTCTGTAAAACGGATAATGCGTATCACTAGCTCTGCCTATCTCTTTGGGTCTTTTGGAAACCAGATAAGATAAGGGGTGTGAAAGCGCTTTTTGTAAACTACAAAATGCAACACACGTGTATCTCTCTTTATTATAACTCATCCTGTCAATCTGGCACATCATTTCAGTCAGGTGAGACCATTTTTAGATGCTGTCTTCATCACTTCACATTACTAGTTTCCTCCTCAATCTCATGTCCTTTTTCAACTTAATCATCAAATCATTAACAATTAGCTAAACTGGTCAATGTCTAGTCTGCTGAAAGACAGTATGTGACATATTCCTAGTAATATCATCCTAATTCTTTAATTCTATAACCATTTACACATCTACCTGACTGTACTATTACACCTACATTGCACTATCTTGTCCAACAAGATGAATACTTTATAATCTTTTGTCCTTTTCATCTACTAAAACCTACCAAAAAGGGGAAATGAAGCTGTTCTGGCATTTTTGTGTTAATAAATCCATAATAGCTCCCAATGTTTATTATTTCTATGATTTAAAAAATAAATTTTAGTAACATTCTAATATCTTGTGCTTCATCAAATTCACCACATTTTGTAAGGCAGAATCCATTTTCTTCCTTTCCCTTCTGAAAAAGTAAATTTGCTTATGTCCAGTTCTATAAGCTGCTCTTCTCTTACATAGTTATTCAAACATCACTTATCAACATGACCTCTCATTATGTCTAAAAAGTCACTTACATAGGCAGCACACTTACAGCTAAGGTGGCTGGATAGGCCTATACCAGAAATGCCCTTCCCTTTCTTAGGCTTCAATTCCCCCTCATCAGGGATTATTTCCCTCTTATCTTTTCTTGTTTAAAAGTTATTTTATTCAATGAAAAATAAAAAGAGAAAGAATGGGTTAGAGCCATTCTTCTTTGACTGTTATATCACCTGATGCCATGTAATAAGCCTGTGGTCATACTAGGAAAACATCTTTACAAAATTCTTATTTGCCTTAGCATTTGTCAAAAGTTAGGTTAGGTAACAGGGTTTGGTTTTGTTTCATTTTTATAGATCTTTATTATTCCTTTACACTTAGGTATATTGTACTCTTCTCATAACCTTTGAGAGATCTAAAATAGTACCTGTCCGTTAATCTTGGCCTCCATTCTTTGCCATGGCAATTTCTGATTACATATCATGAATTTCATTTTTGACAGTGTCCAATTGTTAAGCCATTTTCCCAGTTATGGTCCAAGACTTGGGTCATGAGAGAGCATTTCCCTAAATACTTAATGAAATCTGATTTCCTAAAACCTAGGGTATATTTCTGATGATGTTCAAGATTCCCGCCGCCCCCCACCCCCAACTACAACAGACCTGAAGATGACAAATACAACATGGCTCACCCATGACTTCTGTTTCTTCATCAACTATTCTACCCAGTGAGAGACTAAACTACAAAGTATAGTAAGTCAAGGATTTATCAGAGCATGCTGAGCTGAATATTACGTGGACTAGAGAGCTTATCAGTTCCTATGTTATACTGCATCTTTGAGTTTTAAAACTCTGCACTGGTACCTTGTCCTTTGAAAGTCAACAATAACATAAAATCTAAGATCTGAGATTTATAGTCCACAGAAGACTTCATGCCTAAGACTCTCACAGGACCAAAACCTCTGGATACAACACTTAAATCATTCTTTCAAGTGCACTCTCTCCCTTTCTTGGTAGCACCTCTGCCAGAACACTCCAACTTCAGGAACAGGTATGTTCCCCTCTGGACAGTCCACCCCAAATCTCATTTAAATGCTCTCTTTTGTCTTCTTGTAAAAACTTCACTTCAGGTACCATCCCTTAAACACAGGGCACTAGATATTAACTCACATTATTATTATCACCCTCTACTTACATTTATCTTTATTAAGCTAAGAAGACTGACGGTTGTTCAACAAGTTTAATCTGACACAGATTAATGGCGTGTATGGGTAATTAGGTACACCTGAGCAGAGAAGTTGGGGTCTGAAGACAAACTCTGCCCACTTTCGATCTTGGGCTAGTCCTGGTGAGAATAGCAGTAGTCTGACAAAATTCCAGATCCCAACTTGGCAAAAACCCTATTATGTGGGTGTGTCTATCAAGCCAGGCAGAAAGGAGTCTGAAGTCACTTTTACCAAGGTTGGATTAAACCCTCAACTGTGAAGTATTTGAGAAAACAGGGAACTAGAGACAAGACCATTGAGAAAGGGCTCAATGTCCATGAGATCAAAGGAATGGGGGACAGAAATGGCTAAGCCAGGCGAAGAGCATACAGGAATATCTGAAGACTCTGATTTTCAAAAAGAGGATGTCCAGTTAAGTAAGGGCACACAGCTCCTCAGAAACATATGCCTTGGGAGCCTTTTAGTTGAGAGGTCCATCTCCAGATGTTGGAAACTAGAATCAGGTAAATGTTAGTGACTGGATTTAAAGCAAAACAGACTAAACTGGCTTAAGGTGAAGCCATGAGCACTGAAATTATTTAAAATCCCAAGGATTCTAATATGTACCTAGGGTTGAGAACACAGAGATTATAAGACTATATAACCACTTCCTTCATAATATCAGCAAGTCAAATAACTAAATACAAATTTCATTAGTTAAAATACTGAATAGATGGCTAGGTCAAAGATATACCTCAAGTTCTTAAATTTCATTTTCTAAACAAATTTTGATACTTTCTAAAGGAGAAAAAAAATGTTAGACTACATATCTGATTAAAACTTGAGGGCAATGGAATGTCCTTCATCCAGCATTCCTTCATTCCAAATTCGAATACAAATTAAGAACATGATTGTGTAGGTGTCTGCTAAGCATCAACAGCCAGTCTTTCAAGCACCGAAGATCAATTTTATAAACCAGCTCTGGTTCAGTACAGAGTTTGAAACTATATTCTAATAATCAGTAATTATTATCTAAAGGCAAATTACATTGAAAATTTAAAACCCTATTTACAAGAGGTAAAATTTACAATTTTAGTGAAACAAAGCAACTTTAAAATATAATTTTCACCACATCAATTCAAAGCTTTATGAGGAAAATTATAGCGGAATCTGAATTTTAACTTTTAAAGCACTATGAAAATAATTAATTCAGCAGATGATCTTTAAGAAGTACTGGAGTCCCTGTAGATACTTTCTGATGGCCTGAAACTATTATGAAGCAAATTATTTTCCAATTCTGAATGTAATTAATTATTTTACCCTATCCTATTATCAGTCACTTTGGCTTGTAAAAGAGCAAACAAAAACTCCAATTTTGAAGCAGTTTTCAAAAATATCCCCAAATAAAAAGTATCAAATATTGAGCAAAAATGTATAATGCAGGATCTCTGAAAAACCCATATTATAAAATCCATATTATGAAACCCATTTAATAACTCCCATATAACTGAAAGAAAACCAAAGTAAGATCAAAATTCAGAAAGAGATATGGGTCCAGTTACAGTTCTGCCGCTGACTGTATGACCTTGACCAAGTTACACAGCCTCTCTAAAAAGCAGTACCCGTGGCACACCTTGCAGACACGTGTACAAGAGCGTGCACATTTGTACAAGCGTACATTAAAACTAAAGTCTACTCCAAGCCTAAAATTCTGTTTCTAGTAAAAAGGTAACAACAAGGGGCACCTGGGTGACTCAATCAGTTAAGCGTCTGACTTTGGCTCAGGTCATGATCTCACAGCTCATGGGTTTGAGCCCCGCATCGGGCTCTGTGCAGACAGCTCAGAGGCTGGAGCCTGCTTCAGATTCTGTGTCTCCCTTTCTCTCTGCCTCTTCCCTGCTCGCACTTTGTCTCTCTCTCAAAACTAACATTAAAAAAAAGGTAACAACAAGAAAAATTTGGAGCCTGTGGGTTACCTCTGTAAAGCACTGGTATATATCTGTGTTTTAGTTTTAATGTAGTTTAAAATATCCAAAATATTTCAAAGTCTGTATTATAAATAAGATATGAGACAGGATTTTAATGTCTGTAGCAACATATAATATCAATGTTTTCAGTGTATACTGAAAAAGAAAATGTGTTATAGAGAAGCTTCACTTCCTACCACTACCAGTGCACCCACCTATCACCTTAAAACACCCTCATTTTTTAGTATGTCATTATTCTTCCTCTATAATATGTTCACTAGTTTCTCCCATCTCTGATAAAAAGTATAATATTCTCTGGTCATACTTAAAAGTCGGGCTTTCACTTTATTGGTTCACAGAATCAAGAAAAACTTTACTTCACCTAACTTTCTGGGACTGGGCAGGGACTGGCTGTAAATGCCAAAACTCTTCTTACTAAGAGGTACTTCAGAGAGACAGCAGGCCTCATATTAGAATGCTTATACTCTTCCAGTTTGAAAGTAAGACTCAAGCAACTTACCATTGTTCCAAAAGGAATGGCTCTTGAAGCATGGTAATAAATGGCTATAAAATTGATGAAGAAGGCAGTGCCACACACCATAGCTGGGATAAGAAATGCCCCAATAAACATCTGCTTTATCCATCTCCTTCCTGAAAGAGAAAGGAAATAATGAAAATGAGAGGTGAGGGGGATATTTTCATGTTCATAAAGTGCCAAATTATGGTTTATTTAGTACCAAAATATTTACTTAAAATTCTCATGTAAAGATCTTAAAATCCCAGGGTGCCTGGGTGGCTCAGTCAGTTAAGTGTCTGACTTTGCCGCAGGTCATGATCTCACAGTTCATGGGTTTGAGCCCCGCTCTGTGCTGACAGCTCTGTGCTGACAGCTATCTCAGAGCCAGAAGCCTGTTTCAGATTCTGTATCTCCCTCTCTCTCTCTCAGAAATAAATAAAAACATTAATAATTTTTTTTAAAAAAGATCGTAAAATCTGACACTCTAATAATTGTTTCAGGACAACAGCTATTCAAGTATGTCTAATGGAAACAGCTTTTAAAGTGGGTGTCCTAGAAAAGAGTAAAATATCTCAATTTTCTGTCATGATATTGCCGCTGAAATGCAGTGGATTTTGGTAAGTCGCTCAACCTTTCTGGGCTATAAGTTGGCCTCCATAGGTGTCTTCAAACTATTACTTGGAGTTCAGGAGCTTCTTGGAGGTGCCCACAAAACTGGTGAAAAAAGAGCCCCAAGCCCCACTTTAACCAAACAAGTCCATTTTCAACAGTTTTACACATTGGAGTTTCATGTAAGCTTTCATTTGAAAACAGGTTTACACTGCTTAAAAAAAAAAAAAAAACTTTAAAAATCCCTAGTTTAAGTTACCCCAAATTAAGTTACCCCTAGGTTAAGTTAAATTTACCCCAAATTTACTTTTAGGTGTAGTCATAATTATAAACATATATTTAAATTTGTTTCAAAAGGGAAAACAGAGTGTGTTTCATAAGCTCTTTCTCAGCAATTAGAACTACAGACTTTAAGTTTCACTATTTCTTTGTACCTCTTTGTATTGCCAAAATTCTATACAATGAGCATCAGGTATTTAAATAGTCAAGGAAAGGAATGTTTAAACTATGTAATCAAAAATCTTAAAGCACGTTCATACTGATCAGGAGAACAAGGAGCGATCTCTTGAATACAGCAGAGTATACCAGCAAGTGCGTTGCCAAGAAAGCACCCGCACACTGCTTAGGAACAAAACACAAAGATTTCATACTGGATCGAATTATAGTTCAACCCCACAACGAGAAGCAATCAGGACCCAAACGGAAAGTGTGTAAGTGGGGCGCCTGGGTGGCTCAGTCAGTTAAGCACTGGACTTCGGCTCAGGTCATGATCTCGCAGTTCGTGAATTCAAGCCCCACATTGGGCTCCATGCTGATGGTGCAGAGCCTGCTTGGGATGGTCTCTCTCCCTCTCTCTCTGCCTCTCCTCCATTCATGTTCTCTCTCTTTCTCCCTCTCTCTCAAAATAAATAAATAAAAACCTTAAAAAAAAAAAAAAGGAAAGTGCTATAAGCAAAATAAGCAATACCCTAATTTCTGTTTTCTTTTACGTAAAGCTCTTTAAAACATTCGTCTCGTAGAATTACTATCCAAATCTTGACAGTCTTCTAGAAAAACTCCTTGATTCTGAACTTTTGCTTCTATACACTCTATATTTTTTCTTTCTCAGGTAAGTTTTAAGAGCCTCTCCTTTCCACACTAAGACTCAGCATTCAGCATTTTAACAACACAGAAAGGGTGGCCATTAATTAAAGTATTATTTAATTCTAACTCTTTCTTAGCACTATCTTTTCCTATACTTTTCATTACCTGCTCAGATTCAGACATGTATTAATAAATTCTATATTTAATTCTTACTCCCTTTCCCTCCAGTAGTCAAAAAGAATCCCACACACATTCCACTGGGTCCAGTCATAGCCCAGGAATCTACACTGTGATTCCTGCTGGTCCCCGTACCCTTGGAGATTCTGGTTAAGTTCCAGGCTATCCCTAGTTTCAAACTGTGTCTGGAGGATTATCCAGTACACTGAGGACAGTAGGCAGACCTTCGCTGTGGTGCAATGAGGTAAGTCTGAAAAATTCTTAACTCTCTGGGTTGACTTCTTACACTAACCTGGCTTTCAGGGATCGCTGGGACAAAATTATCAGTACACGATCAGATCCCCTCAATGTACTGTCAATCAGAAAATAACCTTTAGATTATACTTGGTAAGATCGGATACTCCTAGGCTTGAGTCTGAACTCTGCTTTCAAAAGTTAATGTAATAAAGGTTAGCTGGGTATTCTTAACTTGCAATCAAACTAAAAGCAAATTTCTGTCCAAAACTGAGTAAATTTCCTGTTTTAAATACTGCTTCTGCTGTGGAGACTTTTCTGGAGGTCATAAAATGTAAACTTCTTAGCCTAACTAGTTTTCAGGTCAAATGCAAAGCACTAGTTGACTTAGGTGTCCTTATTTCCTTAGGATGGTAGTCCTGTTATGATAAGACTTGTTTCACATATCTAAAGGTATACAAGACTTTGAACAGCTAATTAAAATAATTAGGAATCCAGAATGATACTCCCTCAGGCAATCCAAAGAATTGTTTATACTGAAGGTACAAGTCACATTAAATCTAGTAGGGCCAATAAAAAAAGCAATGGTAAACCAAGATATACTGGAGGTAGTTTAAATGATCCTATATATGCTCAGAATGTCAATAACCTGCAAGACTAGACAACTAAAAGTTAGGATCCTTTAATGCTGACATTATTTAGGATGAGCGGGAAAATCACATGAGAAAGTCTCTACCCTCAGGAATATAATTTTAAGGTCTTTCAACAACTTTTCAGTTATAAACTGAAATATACAAATCTACTTTCAGTACTTTTCTGGCCCCAATTACAGGGGAAAAAAAAAATGTGAAAACCCTTAAATGCCATCACAGAAAGAAAACACCATGGAGCAGTACCTTTGTATCATCCCCGAATCTCCCATCATTGCCAGGTCACAATAGTAAAGAAGCGAGGGAGTATTTAAGACGAAGTGGTGATCTTAGCAAAAGATTTAGACAAAGGGTAACAAAAATTTTTGTGTAGGGTCCTTTATAAATATTTCAGAGTCAATAGAAATAAATAGCTCTCCCCTATTCTCCTTCCAGTTCAGATACTTCATCCAAAAGCCATTAAAACATGCCTTTATATTCAGCTGTAACACTATATACTCTATGTGGAGGCCTCTCGTGGAGCATTTAGGGAGTAAGAACTTCAAAGCAAAATAATATCAATAACTTAAATATATTCTCTCCTACACGTTCCTCAGTGCTAAGTTCACAGTAAACAATGGACATAATCTATGAATTATTCATAATTTTCAGAAATAAAATGCAAGGATTCCATAAAAGCAAAGTAGACCACATAACAGGTTTGGTAGACATCATGTGAAATGGGATAACAATATGTTTTACAATGGCTGTACTATCCATTTTAAATTCCAAATACTTCACAGTAAAATATTAGAATCTATAATTAAAAATATGAAGCGATAACATATAAGTTACCTCCTTGTCTGGCATATAAACTTCCTCCAAAATAACCATTCACTGGAGATGTAGCAGCATAGACAAATATGGCTGTACTGAGCATTGATCCCCTCCTGAGAAGGCAAAATAACATATGTGATAATTTAAAACCAACAATTTAAAGGAAATATCAGAGTTTATCACATTAACATTAGTTTAATTTCAAAGATAAATTTAACAGGAATACAAAACTATCATCCTGGACTGCAAAGGACCTCAAGATTGCTTAGTGAATGAATTCCTAGTTAAAACTGCACAGGCTGATACTAATTTTTTTAATCTGCAATTAAATTTCATAATATATTCTAAACAAATATTTCACATTCCTTTGGCAAAAATGTTAGAAGCTGGAACTGAAATTGTTTTGGAACCCTGTGAACCAATCACATCATACGGATAAGGATATTCATCTGCTAAGAAAAATAATTGGAATATTCCTCTTTATAAATTGATTTAATTGCTTAAGATCTTTGCCCACTGACAGAAACAAAATGGAAGTAATGTAATCTATACTAGTGCTATTGCTTTAAATGGTATAACACTGAGACTTTTCCTATTTAGTTTTCCCTACAGTATTAAAAATTATTTTTTTTAAATCCATAGGTCTACAATCAACATTAAGTCAGATCATCAATCTCTAAGCTCTTCTTCCACTAATGATATCTAAGAAATTCGGACCAATCCTCCTGTTGAATAAAATTGAACAAAACATTTTAAATGCGTAACTGCAGAGAGAAATATTAAAATGATAAACAACAGTATCATTTGTCATAACATAGAAATATGCACAGGGCAACTGGGTGGCTCAGGCGGATATGTGTCTGACTCTTGACTTTGGCCCAGATCACGATCTCATGGGTTCATGAGATCGAGCCCCGTACTGGGCTGCGCATACCGTGCAGAGCTTGCTTGGGAGTCTCTCTGCTTCTCCCCTACTCACACATGTGCATGTGCACATGCACAGACTCACTTCCTCTCTATCAAACTAAATAAGCTTAAAAAAAAATGTACTTGAACTACTAACAATAAAGGCTATTTTTGAAACTTAGCATAACTAGGAAGGTAAAATGAGGTCTGTTGTTGATATTGAGCTAAAGAATATTGAGCTAAATACTCTTTAAAAGAGAATTTACAAGAATACCACACGAATGTGTGTACTGGGATGATATACAATTTCCATAAATTAACCACCTTCTCAGTAGTAATTATTATATTTTGCTGTCCTCCTATATAGAACAGAAAGGGATCATACAGTCTTGAAATATGTAGTGCTCCTCTGCCCAAACACCTATGCTGAATTTCTTAAAGTGGATGCATAACAGTTAAAACATTATTCAATTTCCATCACTATATAACTAGATACAAATGTGGTAGTAATATAAGAATATGTCATTCCCACGATTAAAAGACCATGGGTCTCTCGACACTTGGCTGGCGCACAACTCTGGATCTCAAGGTCATGAGTTCAAGCCCCACGTTGGCTGCAGAGCTTTCTTTAAAAAAAAGTGAACAGACATGGATCTCAAAGTTTTTAAAATAAAAATTTGTTTTTTCAACAACTCAAACGCTCTAAGTACTAACTTTTTCCTTTCAGATTATCACTAAAAAATCTGGCCCATTCTCTGTAACTGGGAGTGTGAACGGTGACAAAGGCCTAACAATGCTGAAAACTGAAAGGCTGGTTTAGTCTAGACCAGTCTATTACCAGTCAGAAGTTCTTCAGCCAGATAGGGTTCAGAAAGAAGGACTGCTCATATGACTGAGAGTCCAAAATGCTTCCCAGGGATTTAAGCTTGTAATCCCCAGAGACACTGCACTAAATGAAGTGTTAAGTATCAGTCATGCTTTTAAAAGTCAGACAGACCCTTCATCTCTCCCTTCATAAATATCCTATGGGCATTTTCCACCCAAAATACGTCATTTTCATCTACGCTGTAAAATATGCTGAGGCAGAGAACTGTCCTCTTTGTTCATCTCTCCAAGACTGGAGCGAGGTAACATCTAAGGAGCTGTTTTACACTTGCCAACTCACCATTCTACACCCAAAGTTACAGAGCTCAGTATTTTTCCAGACTTTCCCACAGCTTCTCAAACACTATACCTTCTCAGGAGTTACTGGCACACTCATAGGCATCCACACTGATACTGATCCTCTAGCTACCTAAATAGTCCTTCTTCTCTGATTGCTGTGGTCATCACCAACACAAATAATTTTCACGTTATATTATCTGCCTGTCATCTTTTAGAATCACTCCTACTCTGAAGTGATTCTTACCAATTTCATGTGCAAGGCTTCTCATTTTCCCACTACTTTGTGCTTTTATAATCTCTATTATATTTCCATAGCCTAGCAAATTAAGAGACAAATTGTGGTGTAAGGGTGTCTAGGTTCAAATCCCAGCTTACTAACACCCCTACTAACAATCATATGATCTCAGTCATATTACTTAACCTCTCTGAACTTTACTTTTCTCATCTGTAGAATGGAGAGAATAGCCCCTTCAAAGGATGGGTGTGAAAATTTAAAGAGGTAGTATGAATGAAGCACCTAATGGAACAACAATAATATTAGTCACTTTGATATCAAAATAACACTGTATACGAATCATATAATGAAGTACATTCACTTCAAATAAGCACAATACAGGAAAAACATTAATAATATCAGACTAAAATAACAATGCATGACTTGCCTGCTAATACCATTTATTAGAAAATTTCTTATTTCTGAAGTTGAGGGTCTATAAACAAAAGAGCTTCTGAATTAAAAAATGAATTGCCAAAATTGTAACACTGATGTCTGAGAAGGAACAATGCAAAAACCTGAATTCTAGGAGAGGTTACCCACTCAAGACTATGACTGTGCAGTGTCAATTCAGTCAGTAAGGATGAATTTAATCCAGTATTTAACATAAAGCATGGCTTCTTGGCACATGTGAAATGCTTCTCTTGTATTTGGGATTTAGTTCACCTGAAATATACTGTATCCTAAAATATGAACTCCCAGTCAGAACACTTAAGTTTAGGTTTTGAACAATTATTTTAAAGCTTATATGGTAAACAACTGCAAAGGTTATATATTAAAGAAATGTAACAGAAACTACACAGAGCTTATGGTCTAGAGGAAGGAACAGTAATTTAGTATCATTAAATATTTAACCTAAAACTAAAGAGCCATTCTTTCAGCAACAATTTATTGTTTGTCCACCAAATGCCAGGCATATGTAAGAAAGAATGCATTATGAACTGAAATAGAGGTATGAGATTGAACTGGAAAAAAGTGCCATTCTGATACAGAACTTCACGGGACAATGTCGAAGTGCCTGAATTTATAATCCCTACTCTCCAGGCTCAAAGTGTGTCTGCTTCATTGAGTTCATGGCTCTCTGAGCATAGGTTATAGAATCACTCAACAGGGATGTGAGATCTTTATGAATGTATAATTTTTTCTAATAATTCAAAGACCTCAAATCAAGAATTTCTTTTTTTAATTTTTTTCAATGTTCATTTATTTTTGAGAGAGACAGAGACAGAGCGTGAGTAGTGGAGGGGGAGAGAGAGAGGTGGACACAGAATCCAAAGCATAAAATCAAAAATTTCTTACAACCAATTTTGTCCTCAAAGAAGAAATGTACCAAAAACCATGTAAAGGTAAGATATCCAATTATTTTTCCAACCTCATGTGCCTTTTCCACTACTCTTTTTATTATTTATTATTAATAGTTAAATCTTAAAATTAATAAATTTAATATACATTAAATATTTACTAAACATTATTTATTATTTTTCTTCTGTTCTGTAGACAGTCTCCCAGTATGGAAGGTAAATATGAAGTACTAATTCAGAAACTATAAAATTCTTGTGCTTTTTACAAAGATCTAACTGGATCTTCAGCTTTCAAAAAAAAAAAAGCCTATTCATTTCATCAAATACCACTGGCTCATAAGTGAGTCTGCACATACCTCTAAATGGAACATAACCTTTATAACCACCAAAAATGTTCAGTATGGCTAGTATGTCTTAGCACATAACAGAAAACATACTTATAACTGAATATAATTGTTCATTATTTATCTGCAACAAAAACATTTATGCTATATTAAATTCTGAGACAATTGAAATATGCAAATATTTAATTATGACTGACTTACAATGTTCCAATGATTAACACTATTCAAGAACAAAAAAATAAAATTAAACACATATACTTACTCTGTATATAAATCTTCTATCATTGCAACAATAATAACAATAAGAGACACAGCAAATATCTGACATCCAGAACCAATGAGAGAGGAAAATATCAGTGGGTGACTTGATGGTCTAAATACATCTCCATGCACCTGCTTCCATCCATACTCATCTCCTAGGTCTCTATCCTATATACATACATATGTGGAGAGAAAAGAAAACCATTTGGAATAAAATTAAAATACATAAAGTAAGTGAAAAATTACAATTCCAGTTTTAAGTTCCCTCCTTCCAAACTTACAGCTATTTAAAGAGGTTTAAACCAACTTGACAATAAACTATTTGTGTAAAAAAATAAATAAATAAATAATAAAGAGGTTCAAAATATCGGGAAAAGACATTTCAAACTTAAAATAATCACTGCCAGGGAGCCTGGCAGCTCAGTCAGTTAAGCATCTGCTTCTGGATTTCAGCTCAGGTCATGAGATTGAGCACAAAGCCTGCTTGGGATTCTCTCTCTCCTTCTCTCTCTGCCCCACTCCCACTGGCGCTCTCTCTGTCTCTCTCTCTCTTTCAAAATAAACAAATTTTTAAAAGTAAAATAATTACTGCCTTAAGAACTTATAATGTTAAAATATTATGGCATTTACTGAGGCTCAGGAAGGTGGCTCCTGGTTGCGTTCAAAGAATATCAAAGAATGGAAAAAGAAAAGGTCTAGGAGTAAATACAAATGGTCAAAATGGGTGAAAAGCACACCAGCTCTCTGAACATTATTTTTTTCTGAGAGAGAGAGAGACAGCGTGAGCAGGACAGGGTCAGAGAGAGAGAGGGAGTTATAGAATCTGAAGCAGGCTCCAGGCTCGGAGCTAGCTGTCAGCACAGAGCCTGATGTGGGGCTCGAACCCACGAACTGTGAGAACGTGACCTGAGCCGAAGTCAGACACTTAACCGACTGAGCCACCCAGGTGCCCCTGAACATTCTTATTCTTGCCATTTATATCATGCCTGTGGCTCATACATAATGAGGGGCCAGGTGGAGAACAAAAGAGAAAAAAAAGACTGAACCAGTACTTAGATGCCCTAACAATGCAGGAATGTCCTTTATAGCCTGGAATCTAAGAAAATATATGAGGAAATATCAGTTAATTATTATTTGTTAAATACTATTTAACTGCCTACAGCACTTTTGAAAAAGGATTCAATTTTTCCTTTTCATTCTAAATAAACAAGTATCTAAAACATTATTTCTTAAATATCAGTCCCTTAAGATAATCTGGGTTTTTGGCTGGGGGTGACCTTGGTCAGATATGTTTAAAAAGTACCAAATACAGAATACACATTAACATATTAATTCAGTTTTAACCTGTTTAACTCTTTTCCATACTTATTTAATGATGGAGCATATCTATATAGAATAGCCATACTTTTGCTCATTTACAACACTGTGTACAATATAGTAAAAGAATTTAGAAAATGAACCTCCCCTCTGAACCTACTAAACTACATGTAAATAATCCTTTCACCCACTCCCTGAATTTTATGCAATATTAAACAGTCTTAGAAAGATGTCAATACAGGGCTACAACTTCGTAGCTACAATTCTGAAATCAAAAGCTCTGAAAACTGGAAGTCTGTTTCATAGTTTGACACATTCTTATTTGGTGGCAAGACCCAGGAGTGAAGAGGTTATTTGTACTGTATATTTATCTCACTTAAGGTGAACACTCATTATGTTTTGCTGGAAAAAAAATTAATATATTTGATTATGAGGCATGTAATCAGAATATGTAAAAACAATGTATTTGATTAGAGACCCCTCAGGAACTTTTACACCTTTCTAAAACCTAAAAAATGTGACTTATAATCCAACATTCAAAATAACACCAAGTTAAATCATCTTTATAAATAAACGTAAAATGTTTGCTCACCATATCATCCATTTCTTCTTCTTTACTATACCTCGCATAATCTTTTCTTAGAGTTCTCATTAAAATCATTGAAACTAAGCCCACCAAGAAGATAACCATCATGAAAGAGTTGAAAATTGAGAACCAATGAATCTAAAATAACAGAAAATAAAATATTACTGACATGAATTATTAGTCACAAAATTCATAGGTTGCATGATGACAACAGCATGCTGGTACAAAAAAACAGTCTTTTAGAACTTTTACATAAGATCCAAACTTAAGACACACTGGGGGATGAGTATTCACTATGCAAAGAGAGCAGCTTTCATTACAGTAAGCTTTCAGATGCCTTAAAAAGGTGGTATCATGTATAGATTTTCACAATCAATTATACTGAACAAATAAAGTACAATTAGACCACACAGTATATGTTTAGTCAGCATCACACAGAAAGAACACTGGCTTTGGAGTCAAACTGGCCTGGGTTTTAACCCAGACTCTGTCAATTTTCTAGCTATGTGACCCCAGTTTTCTATATCAAAAAGGAAGCAAATAATACTATCCTGATTTGTATGGTTTAACATGTATAAGAAGTATGATACCATGTCTGGCACATAGTAGCAAATATTTTAAAAATGTTAGTTCCCTTCCCTCTAACTGAGCAACAATGTGAAAACCTTCTTAAGACACCAAGACTGAACCACCACAGTTGGCTGCTCCTGGACTCAGTCCGCCTTCCCGAGCGTATGCTTCACTTGCTCCCAGTCCATCTTCTCCACCCCGTCCCTACCGCATCCACTCCCTTGTACCTCAGCTATCCACGGCGGAGAGAACAACGAGGACCCCACTGTGTCCCAATGTTCCCAAGACTCTGGACTTTTATTTCACCCACCTATCTGTCACAGATTTATGTCCACATGCTGGTTTATAATCACAAGGCACCACTGTATCTCTGAGTGCATCTCAGAACTCAATGCATCTGACTTCAAATTCCTTTATACTTTAATTCCCCAAAGTTATTTAAGGATGGTTTCAAAATTTCACCTCTCTCACCAAGGCCCCAATTTCCTTTATTTTTCTGCATTTATCCTCCTAGCCTTTCATTCCTTCCTTCCATCTCCTAGACACTGTTCCCCTCTTAAATCAATCTTTCCCCTAGGCTCTACACCTCTTTCATTCCTTGAGGTGTTTTTGAGTGGCTTTGTGCTCTCATCTTGCACCCCTAAATCTGCACCTTTCCCTAGCATCAGCAATCTCCAAAAGTCCCTACCTATAATGGTATCTACTCCCTGCGATGGTTATATGCCTCAAACAAGGTAATAAACGTAAAGCGGATAACTTAGTGCCTAGCTTATAGTAAAACACTGGAAAAACTGACAAGCTGTTATTTCTGTTAATATCTTTTAAAGTGCTTGCTTGATCTTCTGTCCCCTCATTCTTCCTATCTTCTTTTTACCTCCCTCCTTCCAATCTTAATACTTCCCAAATGAGATGACCCATTCTACTTCTCCCCAACCCCCCACACCTCCGTCAAAGGATACAATCTCACCATGTCCCACGAAATTTCTCTTAAAGGCCTGCAATGAACTTTTAAACCGATTCAGCCATCAATGAGCTGTCTACTCTCCCTGCCCCATCTGACCTCTGCTGCCAATGCACCGTCCTCCCTGACTGACTGCCCCTTCTCGTCTTTCGTCTTCGATACCTGTTCCTCCCACCCTGTGAACTTTTCTAGAAGCTCCAGTGCTGGTACTCTGCTGTGACTTCTTCAACCTGTAACTAGTTCCAGTGATGACGGTAACCCTCTTGCCTCCAACTCCCACCGGGACCCAAATCTCTAGCCTTCTTCCTCATTCATGTTTTACACTTGTACACATATGATCGTTTTTACTTGAGTATCTTTCTGGAATTTCAGACTTAGACTGTCCTAAAATAAACTCATAATCTTCTGCCTCACATATAATTTCCTTCTGATTTCTAACTGCTACTAACGGTACTAACATTTGGCTTTGAAAATTTAGAATTATGTCTGGCTCTTCCTTCTCCTTAATCCTTCCTAAGTAATAATTACTAAGCTTTTGTTTTCTTTGATATGTCTCTTATATCTATCCCTTCCTTTCCATTCTGATCCCATCACCTCACACCTGGAGGTAACCCTAATGATTTCCTAGTTAGACTTCTCTATTTTTGGTCTCTGCCCTTCTTTCCAATCTATCCAAAAAAAGCTACCCAGCCAATCTTTCTGAAGCATCCTGTTCATATATCACTTCTCTATTTTAAAACTGGTGGTGGCATTCCCTATTTTCTCATATGTATTTCCCCTAATATTCTGTACCCCTTGTAACACGGCTCCCTCACCTTATCTAGCCAATCTTTCACTCCACTGCGTCCTATATCCCAATCAGGCCTATCCTTCTTCTGTGACCCACAAGTACAGCACACTCACGTCCACCTATATCCATCTTCTCACACAGGATCTACTTCTATCCACTTCTGTAAATTCTATCTACTTTTTAAAGCCCAATCCAAAAACCCTCCCTTCTATAAAAGTCCTCATCTACATATCCCATTATTCAGAGATGTACTCCTGCTCTAAACTCTTACAGGTACACACACAGAATATTAACATGAAGGATGTACTGTCTTGTACAACTAGGAGGGATTTTAACTTGGGCCAATATGCTGAGTATGTGCACTAGGGCGAGGGGCAGCCTTTGCTGTTACCCACCCTGACGCTTCGGGCAAGTGACAAACTCTGCAGCTCTCCCTGAAGAGCAGGAGATGGTCAAATGCCTCTGCTTCTTCATAAAATCATTTTTCCCCCTCATTTAATGATTTATTAATTTAATACCTACTAAAATTATAAAGGAAATAATGAATGCATTGTTTGGAAATATTTGCAAAAAAGGAAATATTTGCAAAAAAGGGTTACATAAGTTTTAAGTTTCTCATAAAAGTATCAGTCAAAATTTTTAAAAGCAGTCTGCAATTATAGGTTTTTCAAAAGATTTGATTTTGTTCCTCTAAGAGATTAACCACCCAGAAAAGGACAAGAGAGAAAAAATGATATAGATGTTTCATATCTACTTTCAGTCAATTTATCAAATTTTTGAGAAGCTTTATATAGTTACTATTTAGTAGTAAGAAAAATACACCTAAATTGCAAAACTTTCAGCAAAGCTCCCTGCTATTTTCCAGTCTAAGATATAAATTTTAAACCAATACCTACTAAAATGTACTATTATCCTGACATTTTATAATATTCTCTTATTCCAAAAACTACAAAATACTATTATGATTTTGAAATTATTATAGCAAAAGAAATATTTCTTAAAAATAATAAAGAAACTAGGGGCACCTGCATGGCTCAGTTGGTTAAGTGTCCGACTCATGAGATCAGCTCAGGGCACAATCTCAAGGTTTTGTGGGTTCGGCCCCTACAGGCTCTGTGCTGACAGCATGGAGGCTGCTTGGGATTCTCTCTCCCTCTCTCTCTCTGCCCCTCCCCAACTTATGCTCTCACTCTCTCTCAAAATAAACAAACATTAAACATTTTTTAAAAATTAATAAAGAAATCAGATGTCACAATGGGGTTACTAATCCTATGAACTGCTGACTCCAGCACCCCCTAGTGTTGCTAATCATAAAGCAGCACCCCAGGTTTGCCATAAATTGTACAACAATGGAGAGAAGGAACTAACTATACACACCAGTGCTACCACTTGTTAAGCACCTGCTATGTGTCAAACACCGAACTAGGTGCTTTACATGCCCCATCAAATGGAATATCACACCTCTGCACACTTGCTTCATTATTAAGGAGACAGAAGCTGAGGAACCGAGTAACGCGACGATGGTTACAGTGGGTGGCAGAGAAAGGGTGTGTATCCAGCTCAAGCTCCTAAGCCTGTGCTTGTAGTCACTGTATTGGAAACAATCCCACTGTCACACAGTAGTCCTAACCCGCCCGCCTACTGACAAAGAGACTGCAGTAATTCTCCCCCATCTCTGCTGCGCCGTTAAGTTATGCACTCGCTGCTTAACACTTCCACATATAAATGTTTCTCTTGTATCTCAAAAGAAAATCTCCTGACCCTATCCTTCCTACTACTGCACCATTTCTTTGCTCCCTTTAGCTGCCAAACTTATAGTCTCCAAAACCTCTCCTCCACGCTCTCTTATGCCAGCTCTGTTCAGATTCTGGCCCACCCCTACACCAAAACCGCTCTTTATCAAGTTTACTGATGACAAGTTTGGATGACTCCAAATGAATTCAACAGTCACTTTCACCTTACCTGGCCCAGTAGCAACAATCCAGAACCATTCTCTATGTCCACTTTCTTCATGTGGCTTCCAGAACACCACACAAGCTTTGTTTCCTCTCTCCTCTATTGGTATCTCCTCAGGGCCCTGAGGGGGGTTTCTCCTACTCTCCCCCTAAGCTTTTCTTACTGCCCCCAGGACTCAGTCCTTGGCCCCCTTCTATTTCTACATACTCTTCCTTGATAATTGCATCCAATCTCATGGCTCCTTCAAGGTTGCTGTACTTAAATCACCTCAGAGGCTATCCTGAGCACCATATTTAAACCACAACTAGCCTTGCCTGTGGCATTCTTGCTCACTGCTCTTTTTTTTATTGGACATATCTTTGAACACAATAGAGCCTTAACGTACCATGTTCATTACATGTCTCTCCCTACTAGAAGGGTAAACTCCAAGAGGGTACAGATCTTTGACTTTCATTCTCTAATGTATTCCTCTTACTTAGTACTCTGCTTGACACATAACAGGTGCTCAATTAATAACTGCTCAAAGGAGAAATATGCTACACTGCTCTACTAGTGAAAATGCCATTTTGGCAATCTTTTCCCCCAAGTTACCAATACCCAACGGCATGAGAAACATGCCATTAGTTGAGAGCCCTCATATTTTCAGATATCATCTAAACGTTGAAGTTATTTGTGCCTCTACCTTCAAACACGTTCAGAACTGCATAATGACTATATTTAAAAAGAACACACCAAGGATAAGAAGTGGAAGTTGGGGAGGAAATTTTAAGTCCAGTAGTAGGATGCTAAATCCTTCAGTAAGGACTAAATCCCAAATAGCTTAATTTTTTCTCCTAGGACTCAGAGGAAGATTAGAAGTAGTAATAGGTTCTGGTGAAGTCTGGCAGCAATGATACAAATTTCAAACCACAAAAACTTCCAAGCATAGATTGGAACATAGATTACTCAAACATAGATTACTGAGAAAGTTCTGAGAAACTTCAGAATTCCAGTCTAAAAGATCAGGTCAAACGGTGTTAAGAGGCAAGTCAGGAAGAAAGTCAAGAAGAATGGATACATCTCCTTATATCCCGCTGTCCTTCCATCCTTGAAGGAGGGAACCACTAAGATAAAATCTATTTTTTCCTATAAAAACCCAAAGTTACCACCTGTACAAAATGAGCAACAATGCCATTGAACTAGACTTATGATCTCAGCTCCAACTTGTATGTGCTGGTCGGGGGTGGGAGCCACTTCTTCCCAGTCTTGATGTATCTTTTTGTGTGGAAAGATTTCCACCAGCAAAACCTTCTGGTCTCACTTCACTCTCATCCCTTCCTTCCCTAAAGGATGCACACATTCTGCTCTGTTTCTCCATGCTTTAAGTTTCCTAAGGGCAGGTGCCCATATACAGAAACCTGGAATAGTCCAGCACTAAGTGCGAAAAGTCAGTCTAATTCTAAGTTTCAATATTAAGAAGCCCACCTGTCCATAGATATGTCACATTTTCCAATATTAGCCTCATTAATAATAAAAGTGATATTCTGGCTGTTGGTATGTTGTATCCTTCCCTGTGTTACCCAAAATCAGTTTAAAGCACAGGCATGATGACGAGGGCTTTTGACTGCTCCCCTTAAACTCTCCATCACCCTAGAATTCTAAGCTCACCTGTGAAATCACCACTAGCCCAATGTTTGAACTCCATGGCCTTAGCACAGTGCCTTGCATACAGCAGATGCTCATTAATGTTTGTTAAACTGACTGAAGTACATAATGAATGTCACAAAATATACAATTTACCTACCCTGTGTTGAAAAAAGGATGGATCAAGATATTTGTCAAATCGATCTTCAAATTTTACATCTGACTTTTTCCATTTTACCTGAAAAAAATTTTTTCACTTGAAAATAAAGGCCAGTAAACAAATTAACAAGATGATAACAAAATTGTGAGCACAATTAGGAGAGATTTACATACTTAGAATAAGAAACTAGAGAAATGGTGGAAAGTTACTACCAATTTGAGAAGCTGAAACACGCATGATAAAAAACTAACTTTCCTCTCTGTGTGTTAACAAAACTTTCAACTTTACTTATAGGGATTATTCAGTTTTCAAGGACATTAACTATCTGCTACTTATATACTCTGACCTGATAAATGTGAGAAGAACTGAATTAAGGAGCACCTGGGTGGCTTAGTCCATTAAGCATCCAAGTTCACCTCAAGTCATGATCTTGCAGTTCCTGAGTTTGAGCGCCACGTCGGGCTCTCTGCTGACAGCGTGGAGCCTGAAGTCGGCTTCAGATTCTGTGTCTCCCTCTCTCTCTACCCCTCCCCCGCTTGCACTCTGTCTATCTCTCAAAGATAAATAAATATTAAAAAAAGAACTGAATTAATTAGGCCAATTAAAGTAAGAATCCATCCATCTCTGATGTTAGATTGCATCAGTTTTATCACAATTACCAAACTTCTTCATAAGTTCATTTCCATAAATATCATTTGTACTAAGTACATATGCATAAGCTTTAAAAAACTTGAAAACTAGCTACTACCAATGGACTCATTCCAGTTACCAGGAAAAAAAAAAACTGGCAAAGAGAGAGGCTACCTACATCAGATTTTTCTTCTTTCCACTATTTTTAATCCTAATGGAACAGAATTAACTTGACAGTTGCAAAGGGCTCTGACAAGCTCTTACTCTGCAGGAGTATCTTATTCCAACTGATAAAGCAAAACATGGTAAACTATACCCATCCAGCAATTTTCAATACAGCATCATCTCTATCTGCAACAGTAAAAAGGAAAGAGAAACAACAAGGCATACTACAATCTAAAAGTGTAACCATGAGAATACACGGCGGGGTTGCGGTAACTGCTCAGTTATAATGGTAAACTCTGCCGTAGCCAATGGGAAGTCCTGCATATGCACACCTCTATCTAATACAGACCTGAAGCAAATCTCCCTGCTTTTGGGAGGCTTACTTACATGCATTAAGGAAACAGTCTTAACAATATTCGTTGCACCCTATTTTCATTTACTAAGGTAGTAAAACACACCTTATTGTTGCTATCAGGTCACAAACACTCAATGTACAATTATTTTAATACTTACTGAATATGACATCTGGATTTTAGTATTGGGAACCAGTTTCACCTTTCCTTCACTAGTTAGATTAACATCAACAATTCGATTTCCATTAAAACCTATTTCAAGTTTTTTGTAGGTCCAAAGATAGTAATCTTCTCCATTTTCATCTGCTTCACCAACAATACCTACAGAAGAAATAACACTTTACACAAGATACTATCACTTAATATTTAAAATATGTTAGAAGCTAAAAGCTGATTTAAAAAAAGTTTTTATAAATAAGCAATATTACCATTATTCCTCATGGCTAGAAAAGGCAAAGTACAGGCTGGACTTCTACTCTGTTAACTGCTTGGTGAACATAAACCATGGTCACACCATGAACAGTTCCATATAACCTCAAAGTTCATGCTCTGTCATGAGTATCACCTTCACTGTAATAATTATCACCTTATATGTATATACTTCCTACCAACTGAAAATCACAGGGAAGTACTATGTCACCATCCGGCACAGTCTTCCAGCTAGTCGTGATCAAACTAAAATTAAGTTTCAGTTCTCCAGAGGCCCAATCCAGTACTTTCTCTAATAATCTACACATTCCTAGGGAAGCTACACACAGGTATTTATGGGTACCAAAACTTAAAATGTCTCTTCTTTATGATTCAAGCACTGGGTTATCCCTGGAAAATCATCAAAACGAAAAGAGCGTTGAAGATAAATATTAATGAGGCAATCATTTTGATCACAATTTCACCTACTGTAGGAACATCCCAACAGTGTCAGGGTAACAGGTGGTGCTGAGGGTCCTGTGTGCCCTTGTCCTGTCAGCTACTTATCTAATGTTTCCTGTCTACACCTACATACTGCCCAAAAGCCTTATGCTCTAACAGTGACTCCCTCAGGTCTTCCCTCGGCGGTCAACATATCTCATTAAAGTAGTAGGGGGAGAAAGATCATTTCTTATTAAGGAGTATTTGCTTACTAACCAAAGTTGTTCTCTCAAATTGATATAAATTCAAGGAATACAGTTTCATCGTATTTGGGGTTGCAGGGGATAATGAAATCCTTCTAACAAGGTGTATTTACCCAGGTACTCTGAAAACTCTGGCGGTGGAGACACAATTACACCAAATAAGATTTCTTTGAGGGGCTTTTACTTATTTATTTTAATTTTTAGAGAGAGAGAAAGCCACTTGGGGTCAGAGGAGGGGAGGTGGAGAGAGGGAAAAAGGGAGGGAGAGAGAGAGAGAAAGATACAGAGAGAATCTCAAGCAGGCTCCCCACTCAGTGCAGAGCCCAACATGGGACTTGATCCCACAACCCTGGGATTATGACCTGGGTCGAAATCAAGAGTCAGACACTCAACCAACCTGGATTGAGCCACTCGGGCACCTCTCTCTAATGGGCTTTAAAAAGGCTGAAATATTTACCCCAACTAAAAGCTAAATAACAACTTTTTTTCTGACAAAAATTCTCAAAGTTCAGACATTCTAGGACACCCAAATGTTTCTCTCCTAAACATGGCAGACCCTGGAATCCCAGGGCTAAAAAAGATTTATTTTAGGACAGGAAAGCACAGTTGCCATGTTGCTAAGGAAATCCATAGAAATGACTGACAAAAACTACAGTTCCAGAAAAGAAACCCAAAAGCAATGCAAAAGAACAGGAGGAAGCTGTTCTCCCACCGAAAGCAGAGGAACCCTAGGTTCTCTTGAACTGCAGGCTCACAAATATTGAGTGAACATTCAGCGCATCTTCCTGCTACCCTCAGAGCTGATCACAGAAATGTCTGTGTTAATGTAACACTAATTATAGTCATTAATATGAAATGCTTACTATTTATACCTAATTAAGATGCAACAGAGTAGCAATGATGCATACAATTATATCTTGAGATTGAAATTTCTTACAAATTTCATTTTAGCACCACATTAAACTCTGGTCTGCTATGTTCAGTATTTCAGTTTGGTGCTCATGAATATAGTGGTCTGTAGTCTGCTAACAAATTAAAGAATTAGAATGTTAATTATCTATAAGAATAGGTGTCCAAAGGGGGGAAAAAACCCACCAAGAGAATAATATGATCAAACATGCTAACTATCATAGCTGGCTGTGATTTGTATTTAAAATAATTCCATCATGCTTTTAACAAGTTCACCATCTTCATGTAGCCAACCCAGCTATGGGACTCTCCCCACCTCATCACTAGCATACACATCTGGCCTAGGGCTCCGTGCCTTGTATGCTGTCGCCCATATGAGATACAAAGGGACGCAGAGCAGCTGTGGTCCCCGAATACTCAACTACCTCTTTAGTCACTTCCCACCCTCTACAGAATATTCACTTACTTTATAGCAACTTGCTATAAACTAACTCATTTCAACAGTACACAGATATGAATTCCTTTACCTAATATTGATGTTCTCCTGCAAAGCTGCATGTAAATATATCCTTCAAAAAAAAAAAAAAAAACTAAAATAATTTAATCAAGTCCAGCACAAATAAGAGTTTGGATTCTGCACAGGTCTGTATTAATTATCCATCAATACAGATAAATAAGAGCTAAAACACTAAAAAGTTTTTAGGGGTGCCTGGTTGGCTCAGTCAGTAGAAATGTGACTCATGATCCCAGGGTTGTAAATCTGACCTGTGTGTAGAGATTATTTAAAAAATAAAAATCTTTAAAAAAAAAACATGAAGGGGCACCTGGGTGACTCAGTCAGTTGGGTGTCCAACTTCGGTTCAGGTCACAATCACATAGTTTGTGGGTTCGAGCCCCGTGTTGGGCTCTGTGCTGAAAGCCAGCTTGGAGCCTGCTTCAGATTCTGTGTCTCCCTCTCTTTCTGACCCTCCCCTACTCACGCTCTCTCTCTCAGAAATAATTTTTTTTTTTAATTTTAAAAATTAAAAAAAAAAAAAAACAACTATCACTGAAACTCTTAAAAAAAAATGAAAAATATTTTAAACATACAGTGTTTTGGAAAATAACACAGGAACCAGCAAAACAAGTCATCCAGGAGACTGTCTTACCTAAAATGCATATTACCATAATTCCACATGAGAGAAAGCCAAAATTAAACTTCAAAATCCTATTTAGTTCTTTTGATTATTTATGATAGAATAAATCAAAATAAGGTATAAGAAAAATGGGGGAAGGGAGGATATTTCAGATTGTTCAAAATACCTTTTAATTCCTAAAATCTGAGAAGTTATACTATATAAAAGTTATATTTTGAGGAAGTGTCATATAAGGTTTGGCAATGCTAAAACCCCTTCAAGCAACAGGGGATCATAAAATTGCTATTAAAATAATTCTGTGGAAAATAGTGAAAGTAGTGTACAATCACCTTAAGAGTCATTACATAAGTCATGCTTATTATGCAAATATTCCCCAACTTGAAATATAACATAGAGGGGCACCTGGGTGGCTTAGTCGGTTAAGCGTCTGACTTTCACTTAGGTCATGATCTCGCGGTTCGTGGGTTCGGGCCCCGCGTCGGGCTCTGTGCTGACTGCCAGCTCAGAGCCTGGAGCCTGTTTCAGTCTGTGACTCCCTCTCTCTCTGACCCTCCCCTGCTCACGCTATCTCTCTCTCTCCTAGAAATAAAAATAAAAATATTTAAAAAAATAAATAAATAAAACATAGAATACCTACCCCATATTGGTAAGTCATCTATGTACATCTGGTACCAGTAGTGATTTTTGATAGCATACACAAATGCATCTCTCTTTTCTTTATCTAAGTCAATTTCACAGTAAGTGGCTGGCATCACATCATCTGCAAGAAATAAAAATTGTAAATTAACACAATGGTTTGCAAAATAGCAGAAAAATTACACAAGAAAAAGCCAACATTTCCTGAAGTTAAAATTTGTATTCATAACAGTTGAAGCTGGGTGTAATTATATGAGGGTTCATTCAGTAGATAATTCTTTCCTTTTTATGTATGTTTTATGTATGTTTTAAGATTTTTCAAAATAAAGGAATTTAACCATCTGTATTTTCAAAGATTATCTTACTACATGAAGAAATTGTCCCTTATATAAAGAAAATTATACAAGAACATTTACAAAATAATTTTAAAATAATTTGATTTTAAAGACAAAAATAAAAAAGATTCCAATACACAGGAAAGTTTTCATTTAATGTACACAAAAACTCAAAAATATGACCCTAAATAGAACAACTTCTGATAGAAGATCTCTGAGATACTCATTTTAACATTCTTGGAAATGCAAGTCACTAGAGGCCACAGATTCTATGAGGAATCCTAGTGACTCTTCATAATTAGAAAGATTATAATACAACTTCCATCTAGCAGGTGTCACTGTTTATTAATTACCCAAAGGTCCCTTAGAGATGAGTCATTTCCACTTGAATGCTTTTCAAAAATACTGCTACCACAAGACTGTTCAGCTGGTCTCTAACCTATAAACCTTTCAAAAATGTGCTTTCAAAATGGACTTAGAAATAAGTACTAGGAGTACAACATACAACATGGTGACTGTAGTCACCACTGGTGTATGACATAGGAGAATCTTTAAGAGAGTAAATCCTAAGAGTTCTCGTCACAAAAAGAACATTTTTTTTCTTTCTTCTTTTCTTTTTATTGTGTCTATATGAGAACATGGATGTTGGCCGAACTTATTTGTGGTCATTTCACAATATGTGTGAATCAATCATGCTGTATGCCTTAAACTTCTACAGTGATATATGCCACTATTTCTCAATAAAACTGGAAAAAATGTTCTTATGGTCATTAGTTTCTAAACAAAATAAAACCAAACCGCAAAAAAACTGCCAACACTCTAGATGTCCATTGAAATGATTAAATTGCTTCTGTATATTTCTTAGGCAATTAGAGTAAATGATAAATCTTAACAAGAACAAAAAAAGAAAGTGTAGTTGTTTAAGGTCTCCTGTATTATATTCTTGGTTATTTTGAACTTGAAATGCAATTCCTCCCAAGAAACAATGTTAAATTTCTTAAATCTTGATTAAAACTCCTTAAACATATTATTTCTACGAGAAACAGCAAACTGAATTATGACACTAGCAACATGTCTTCCCAATTCTCAACAAGAAAGAATAGCTTCCCCTTATTAGAGCTCCGTCCAAAGTAGGTACCCCAAAACCGTAACACCAAAGATGGGAGGGAACACTGAAGTCCACCAAAGACAGATAGGGAAATACTCTCACTCCCAAAGTAGAAGAAGAAAATTCCTTTGTCGTCTCCAACGGTGGCTCCCACACAGATTTCCTTTCTATCACGGCTCTTTTAGGCAGCAAGGAATTTAGGATTTTCACAACAGCAAAAACTGAGGCAGAGTAGGGAAAGGCAGGAGGGTTAGGACGTGAGATTGCTAGAAAAGGGTTCCTACAGCAGGAGCTAAGAGAACTGGCAGCAAGAGGCGTCCAGACTTCCAGAGTGTAATTAACGCACAAAGAGCAGCAGGCAACTACAGCAACAAGGGGCAGCAGCAAACAGCTGTGGGAGACCTTACAGTAAACACTGCAAAGCCACCAAATTCCTTGCTGTTAAAATCAGACATTCACAGGGGCTCCTGGGTAGCTCAGTCGGTTAAGCGTCACACTTCAGCTCAGGTCATGATCTTACGCTTTGTGGGTTCGAGCCCCACGTCGGGCTCTGCGCTGACAGCTAGCTCAGAGCCTGGAGTCTGTTTCAGATTCTGTGTCTCCCTCTCTCTCTGACCCTCCCCTGCTCATGCTGCCCCTCTCTCTCTGTCTCTCTCTCTCTCAGAAATAAATAAAAATTAAAAATATTTTTTAAAAAATCAGACATTCACAGATAATCACCATTGAGATTGTATGTATGAAGTTCTGAGATACACAAAATGGCATTTACCTGCATAAAGCTTTTAAGTTTCCTCACGGTCTGAACTTTGGTTCAACTCTCTCTGGCCCAATTATCTATCAATTTTTCTCCCTATAGGCCAGCCAAACTCAACTCCCTGCAGTTTGCATACCCCTTGTGCTCTCTTGGCCTCTGGACTTTCCAGCCTATGTTGGAAAGTCTACTACAAATTTATATTCTAAAAATTTTCCCATCTCCTACCCTCTCCTCTGCAGCGTAGTCCTTGATTCTCCACCCCTCACACTTCTCATATACCAGAGCTTGCCCCTTTCTATGAAGTTCCGTGGCTTTCTCTCCATACCTCCATATGATACCTAGGCCTATACCAATTACAACCTCATACAGTATCTTAGCTCCTCAAAAAGACCATTGGCCTTGAGAGCTATGTGTATACTGATTACATTCCTTTTACTCCCAGCTATGCCTATTTCAGTACCCTACAGAGAATAGGCACTAAAGAAACAAAACATTTTAGCAAATTTTAAGAGCATGCTTTTACATTTATTTGGCAAAGGAAAACATGAAGTATATTACAGTATGTACATATACATTCATCAGTGTATGATGAGTGTGCATGCGCCTATGTGTCTAAGGAGGAAAATGCCAATATAAACAAATGAAATTTTTGAGCAGAGTATCTCAGAAATATTCACAAAGAGGTCCTGAAGAGTATCTTTCACTGATGTAAAATCTAGTAAAGAAATGGGTCAAAGGGAAAATCTATCTTTATGACAGGGTATAAAAAGGACCATGTGAGGTTATATTTTAATGAAATTCCTCTTACAGACATGTGAGCAAATACAAACATCACAAATAATTAAAGAGTCTGGTTGCTCAACTAAAACAGCACTTCTCTCAGGAGGGAGCTGCTTTGAAAATAACTAAAGTGTCTGAATACGCCAAATCATTGTTCAGCATTCCATATACCTGGAAAACAATCTGAAAAATCTATCACAGTAAGTCACTGCTATTAAATTATAAAAGGGCATACCTTTTTCAGATGAAATACACACCTATGAATTCTGAAGAGGACACAATTAAGATTTCACCAATGTAAACACACATTACATGGGGGGGGGACAAAAGCAAAGTTATAAAGTGACAACTGTTAATACTGATTTTTCAAGCAGGCAGCAAGGGTAGATTCTGGAAACTACATACCAGTATGTCTGTCATCAATTCACAACAACACCCCAGACTAATAACTGAACGGACAATGAAAACATTGAGAAAAGAATTATGTTCATTCAACCTCTGCGAACCTCAGATCCCTCAAATATGAAACAGAGATAACAGCTATCTCCTTCCCAGAGTTGTTTTAAGAATTAAAAAGTCTCAATATATTCAGTGTTTCCTTGGGCCACACATCCATTTGAGGATCCAATGAAAGTGGTGTCTCCCTTGTCACCCAAAACGCACATTTGCACAAAACTAAGTGTACAGTTTCAGAAAACCCATGGAACCCTGAAGCCAGAGTTTCTGCTTCCACTTTGTACTCCCAGAGCCTACTGTAGTGCTGGAAAGCAGTAGGCACTCAAAATCTGCTGAATAAAGAAAAAGAAAGGTCTGGAAAATCTTGCATAGTCAGTTAATCGATATATATATTGAAAGTATTATATTATATACTAAAGCATATATATATTAAAAGTATTGATTGACTGACCAATCTGAAATATAAACTGTACAATTTTTTCCTAGATGACTAAATCTCAACAAGTATCAAGATTTGCCTTTCGGGCTCTTGGGTGGCTCAACCAGTTGAGGATCTGACTCTTGATTTCAGCTTAGGTCATAATCCTGGATCATGGGATTAAGACCCTGCATCAGGCTCCGCACTGAGCAAGGAGCCTGCTTAAGATTCGCTCTCCTCCTCTGTCCTTCTTATGTGCTCTCTAAAACAAAAAGAAAGAAAGAGAGAGAGAGACTTTAAAAATGTTTATGTCCCCTGATTCAGTAATTCTAAGAATTTACCTTAATAAAAGATTCAGAGATGCATTAAAATACTTAACTGCTAGGGTAGCCAAATGCATTATTATTTCCAATAGGAAAAAAAAAATCCAAAAAAGCAAGGAAGGAGGCCCTGGAGGGCTCAGTTGTTTGAGTGTCTTCACTCAGGTCATGATCTCACAGTTTGTGAGTTTGAGTCTCACATCAGCACAGAGCCTGCTTTGGATCCTCTGTCCTCCTCTCTCTCTGCCCCTCCCCCATTTGTGCTCTCTCAAAAATAAAACATAAAAAAAAAAAAGGGAAGGAAGGGAGGAAAGAAATCAGAAAGGGAAGAGAAGGAAGTAAAGGAAAAAAAGAAGGAAAATAATCAGAATACCTTATAATTGGGAAATGGGGAAAATTATAATATCCAAGTCAGAGAACATTACATAAACACATTTTTAAAAAAATAATTAACAGGGGCACCTGGGTGGCTCAGTTGGTTAAGCATCTGATCTTGATCTAGGTTCAGGTCATGATCTCATAGTTTGAGATTGAGCCCTGCATCAGGCTCTGCACTGATTTCGTAGAGCCTGCTTAGGATTCTCTTTCTGTGCCCCTCTCCCACTCACATTTTCTCTCTCTCAAAACAAATATTTTTAAAAAAGAAGAGTAAAAACTATACATCATTTATTAAATGAGTAAATTAAGTATCAGACGTATAATAAATACTATGTTACATAAGTTTTTTGAGATATATATAATTATGACCCAATTTTTTAAAATTCTTTTTTTTTCCTTTTTTTTTTTATTTCTAGGAGAGAGAAAGAGAGACAGCGTGAGCAGGGGAGGGTCAGAGAGAGAGGGAGTCACAGACTGAAACAGGCTCCAGGCTCTGAGCTGGCAGTCAGCACAGAGCCCGACGCGGGGCTCGAACCCATGAACCGCGAGATCACGACCTAAGCGAAAGTCGGACG